TGGAAACCCCCAAAAGCTGGTATGATTAATCTCAACTTTTATTTTTGCTCTTGTGGCAATCCCAATCATGTTGGAAAAAGGGCTCAGGTCGTGGTTGTAGCCCCCCCCCATATCCTAGTCACTATATTGTGGTTTTCATTTCCACTAACACCACACCATTAATACCATCAAAACAGTAATCTGTAAATTATTTGAAAAAACAAATAAGGGCATTTTCTTCTTAAATTACTTAAAAAATACTCTCCCTCTCCCCCTCTCTCTCTCTCAAAATAAACTTTTGGAAAGGGGTTAGGGTTAGCAACCCTACACCCTAGTCACTACATTGTGGTTTTCATTTTTATTAACACCACCCCATTAACTAAAACCTTAAAATTGCCTTCCCGACCAAACTATCCAAACATAAATAAAAAATTTATGGTGTGGGTGGTGTGAATATAGATCATGTTGGAAGATTTATAGCTTTCTTTTCAGTAGTCAGAGTACAGGCAATTATGCTAAAATAAGAGCAGTTCTACAAGAATTGCATACTATAGTTGAAGGGATTCAATTAATGTTATAAAATGAATGAGTGATATGACTCTTTGGAAGTTGTGATATTAATGTTTGGAAATCCAAGATACCTGAAAAGGCTTAGGGGTATCTTTTGTGCAGAAGCAAATGGAGAGGTTGATGAGCTGGCTAGACAAGGCACTATCAAGGAGCAACCTCATCATTGATAGAAACTTTGTTTATTTGTAATTGCTCTTTTTCTCTCATTGTACTTTTTGTGTATTTAGTGACACTAGTATTTTAGTTTAGAAAAAGACAATATATGACATGTTAGACAAAAAAAAGCTTATACAAGGTTGCGAAGGTGCATTTTAAAAACCAGATAAAAAGAGCAGTCTAAAATTGAGAAACGTCGATCATCTTGACCTTCAAATGTACAGAGATAAAGAAGAAAAAAAAAATTTTTGAAGTCTTAAAAATAATGTATTTTTTAATAGGTTATCTACACGTCTATTTTCAATGTTTTTGTTCATAGATCTGCTGATTTGCACTAGTTTTGGACATTTAAATTTCATAATTAAAACTGAATATGGATTTTTTTTACTTTGAAACTACATCTTTCAACAAAATTTAAAGATGTGCTTTACCTCACCCAATAATGTAATGTTAAGAGAAATTTATCAAACCAATCGAAAATGATTATTATATAAAATTTTAATTTTTTTTTATACCAAAATATCCTCGAAAAGGCTAGGTTGTCAAGGGGAGGGGGGAGGAGGATTTTGCCCCCACTTACAAAACTATAATAGTTTATGAACAAGATCATATGATTTCATAGGAGCAAAATCTACGTGTGCTCCATCAATCAAAATAATCACTTTTTCTTAGGTCAAGTTTTTAGAGACATGACCTACTCAACCTAGCTTAGAAAAAAATATAAAAATAAATAAAACTCAAATATGCATATCGGAAACAACAACAAAACAACAAGAAGTAAGATTGCACATAGTGTCCAATAATTTTTATAGGTAAAAGTTTATATAGGGGTGAGGCCCTAAACAATAAATTAAGGCACACCTCAAAAATTCATTAGAAGATGTGGTTTTGATGTTGAAAACCTTCAATTCCATCATTCAAGATGTATGAACATGAGAAAAACTAGACTTCAAGTGTTGAAAATAGTGCATCTTATAATGTTTTATCAAGACTATCAATTTTCAATATTTTCAAGTATTCATAGATCTGCTCGATCTACACTATTTTTTAATTTTTAAGTTTTATAATTAGAGATGAAAATAAATTTTTAATTTTTAATATAATCATATATTTTGACACTGTTTGAAAGTGCACCTTACTTTGATTGTTTAAAACCTCAGTCTCATATAAAATTTTTAAAGGAAAATCAACCAATATTTCACCCACTTTTTAATTTAATTTCAAAAATCACATCAAGACACATAATCATGAGTTAAAATAATCAATAGTTTTGGGCCTTTTGGCATATATTGACAAATGGATGAAATATTAAATAGTTGATATTTTCGGTATGGTTTGATAAATTTCCATTTCTTTTCTTTTTTTAAAAATACTCATACTGATTCTTAAACGGATCCCAAAATTTAGACCAAGACGACCCTCATTTGCTCGAAGAAGTAAATGAACGCTTTGCTTCTTCAGGAGCAAAATAAACGCAAGTGGGATTTTTTATCTTTTTTTTTCCTTTTTTTTTTTTCTTCTTTTGAACCGTGCAAGTGGGGATATGTAATGCAAAATATTGGTATGTCTTAATCCTAAAATTTGGTTGGAACCAAGATTTACTTGAGAGAGAGAGAGAGAGCTGAACAGGTGAGGATGATCAAGTAGAAAATTTCACAATAAACAAAGTTCACAAAGGCACAAGTTTCAACGTTTGAAATACTCAATTTATATTTTTAAATGGGTGCGGTTTGTAGAGCGCCTTTAAATAGTGTTGAGAAATATGGTTTCAATACCGAAAAACTTTGTGATAGTTTTAAAATATATTTTTATCATTAATTATAAAATTTAAAGCTTCAAAAATAGTGTAGATCAAACAAATCTATGAAAACTTAAAAATTTTGAAAATTGGTAGTCCACAAATGCATTATAAGATGCACTATTTCAAAACTTAAAATCTAGACAAAATATCTCAATATCTCTTATTTTTAAGTTTCATTTCTTGATAAATTCAAAGTTTTAAAAGATATCTTCCAACCCCTAGTCACTTTAAACCTTTTTTTTAAACTAAATTAATGTAAGAAAGACATGCTCTTTCTAAACCCAATCATTTATATCTCTTCACTTATATACCCTAAACTTCTCTCTTTCTATCTCTTCCTATACCTCTCACTTTCTCTCCTCCCGTGCTTTTCCAAACACCTCTCTCTCTTCTCCTAGTAACCTCTTACCTCTATGAAATCCAACCCAATCCTTTCTCTCTCCACAAAAATAAGTCAAAACTGAGCAATGGAGTACAAAGATTTGCTTCCTTTCATGGCGAAAAGCTTGAAGCCGATGCTTTTGTGATAATATATATATATATGAAAAAAATTGATCAAAATACCTCCATAAAGTTTTGGGGGTATTTTGATCAATTTGTTTTTACAGATTATTTTTTTTTATATTTTTATTAGGTGCTGCTTGATGAGAAAAAATACACGTCTAAAATTTCAAGTAATTTGAATTTGTAAAAAAAAAATTAAAATTCAAATACAAAATGAGATTGTGACCGTTAGATTGGTCCAGATTCAATCTGGGCCGTTGGGCTCATATGTTTATATGAGCTAATGAGCTAATCCCAGCTTTTTTC